AAAAAAAAAAAAAAAAAAAAAAAAAAAAAAAAAACCCCTTGGTGTGGAGCCCTGGCTGAACAACCTAGGTATTTCTGGAGACCAGAAGAGCACTTCTGTTTCTAGCAAAAAGGAGTTGGCTACCGCTGGTAGAAAAGAGTCCCTGAGTTGCAGATCTCAGGGATCTGTTTCCTTGGGCAAAGCTGTGGGTCTCTAATGCAACAACAATGTGTGGAGCTCACCCTGTTAGGACAGTTTGAGGAATCTGGCTTCAGTTTCCACTCTCCCTTCCCTCTTTTCTGAGATGCATGTATTTATATCACGACTGAGTCTCTACTTAGCAGGGCCACAGCCTGAACCATTTCAAAAGGCTGCCACCTAGGGACTGCCTTCCAGGCTTCCAGCTGGTACCTACCCAAAGCACCCACTCCAGGCCGAGAAGGGGAGGGCCAGCTGCAGCCCCACTCTGCAAGGAAGCCAAACACCTGGGCACACACACAAGCACAATATTTAATATTGCTTTCTTACCCTTGATGTGTATAATAAGCTTGGGAAAGTAGTGTTATGAATATGTTGTCAGTTATGAATGGGAATGCTCTGTGAATGATTAAGATGTCTAATTGAAATATTTCCATAATATACTAATCCTTTCTAAAAATACTCATATGCATATTTGTGTTTGGGATGCCTATTAATTTATACTTTTTTCACATCTATTTTTATTTACACAAATGCAAGCAGCTCTTGTCTAAATTGGGAGACAGGCCCGGCACTTTGCTCAGCCTGAGGAAAACTTGCCACAGGGGACAGAAAAACCAGATGCCCCTCTGGAAGGAATGGGCCCCCAAAGACTGGAAATGGGCCTTTCCCAGAGGTTATTTCTCAAAGTCTATAGATACAGATGTTTGTTTTTTATCTACCAATGGCAACTGCATGTTTCAGCAGAACACCCAAATTCCTGTCTCCTTCCCTGTTCTAATTAGAAAATTAAAAGATTGGCTCTTCTTGCAAAGCTGTGGTTTCCTCACTCCCTGGTGTTTCTCTTTCTTCCCTGCTTAGTACCCCCATGAAGTGAATGGGACCCCAATGTATCTGTATGAAGTGGCCACAGAGTCAGTGTGTGAATCAGCTGCCAGGCTTCTGTTTATGAGCATCAAGTGGGCTAAGAGTGTACCAGCTTTCTCCACGCTATCTTTGCAGGACCAGGTATGACCAAGAGGGTACTGAGCTCTCGGGGAAGGGGGGGGTGGGTAAAAAACAACAGTCATCAGCCTTATGAAACTGGAGGTTATCTGGATAAATCACGAAGGCCAGCCATCCTTTCCTAGCAGCAATGGGAAAACGATTTTTACTAGCTTCCTACTGTGGGTTCAAAATATCTAGCTATGGAACCCTTACTAAGAGATGCAATTATGTTATTTCAGGAAAGTTAGATCTGGGCTATGAAAAACAAATATAGAAGAACATCTCTCTCCCTCTCTCTCTGTTTAATTGAATCACAAATTTTTGAAATCTTAATGATATTTAAAATTGCTAATAAAACGATGTTTCTTAAGAATATTGGACCTGAGAGAAATAGATGATGAGAGTATTCCCCTGTAATATTTTCAAGGCTAGTCTTAGTATTTTATGTCCCAGAGCTTTATATTTTCCATTGTGATACAGCCTTGACCACTAATTTATCAGCATGTACAGTTAAAGGGTACACTGCATACTCTAGGCTAGGATCTCCCTTGATTCTTTAAGTACTTTTAGAGGTTTTGTAAACACATGGGCATTGTGCATAATTCTGCAGTTGTAAATGACATTCAGAGGGAGAAAGAGTATGTGCTGCTAAAAATTACATTGTAACAAAAGCCAGAAATTTTGTTGTTAGGAATATCAGAAATAGCTTCTGCTGGAATTTTTCTAATCTTGAGGGGAAAAAAGAAAATGAAGTGTTCATAATAACTATTGGCTGTTACCCAGACATTCATGGAAATTAATGACAAACTTCCCAAAAGCTAATAAGTAGTTTTAAAAGCAAATGGTTTATTTATTTAATTCATTTTATACCTAATTAAAGCATGATAGTGCCTTTTAATATGAAGCATCCTTCCTACAGACAGACCTAGCAATGTGCTCAAAACATTTAATCTTCTAGCATGGGATGTTCTTTTTTTCCATAGCCTGGACTTTCAGACATGGTCAGAATTAGATATTGTTTACCTTGCATTTTTAAAGTATTATTTTCTGTACTTAATGCAATAAAACTAAAAATAAAGCATTTTCAAAATTAAACCTTTGGTCTTATTGTGATTTTGGTTACAAGCCTTCACAATTCAGCTCTTAGCTCTCAAAAGGAAATCCCTTCACATAAATCATCCAGAATTGGCTGGTTTTTGAGAGATTTTTCAAAAACAGATTTTTTCAAAATGGTTAGGTTCTTTGACCAGGTTTACTGGCTGACTCTAACCATTTGCTGTGTGTGTGTATGTGTGTTTGTGTGTGTGTGTGTGTGTGTGTGTGTGCACATGTGTGTGCACGTGCATGTGTGTACACTGGCTATTTTTTCTCAAAACAGGTATCTGTATACTCTTTAATACAAACAAAATTTACTTACTGTCTGCCACTTAGCCCTTCAGTGGAAACCCTTCAACAACAAGCAAACTGCAATGGAGTGGAATCCAGTATATTAATTTAGAAAAGGAGCCAGATTTTCATTTTAAATATTCAGTAGCACATTTTCTTAGAATGAAAATGACAAGCACCTTGATGCTGTCCACTTATGAGTCTCAGAAAAATCAGGCAGTGAGATGAGGTAAACTCAGCAAAACCCGATTAACATAATTACACCCTGATTTCCCTGCATGCCTCTTGGGAATTAGTGATTTCTCCTTGCTCCCTGCCCAGCCCCCCAACCTTGTAGGAAGATGGGGGCCCAGATCTGCACGCTTAGTCTATAATCCTCGACCCTGATAATATCAGTATTTTATATGAAAGGGATCACCTGCTGAGCTGCTGGTGGCATTTCATAGAGCCTGGGTCTCTGGAGAAGATTCTAGGTGGTCAGGAATGAATGGATGCAAGGAAATGAAGGGTAAACCCCTTTCCAGAGGAAGCAAAGTTTGGGGAATTGGAATGGCTGACTCTCAGATGCATGTGCTTATCTATAGGCACCTTTTCAAAAAAGAAAATATGGAAAAGAAAAGAAAGCTAGAATATTCAGGGGAAAAATTACCAAGACAGGCATTTAAAACACTTTTTAAAATAATGGAAATTTACATATTGAAATTGTTTATAAATTTATAAATTACACACTATATTATATTATACATCTATTGTATGACAGCTGATGCTTTTGGAAGATGCTTGGAGAGAACTGTTTGTTCTAGGAATAGCACAATGGGCCATTCCGGTTGATGCTAACACTCTACTGGCTGTATCTGGTAAGAATTGCACAATTTAATGACTTTGTTGTAGAAATTACCATAAAAATACATTACTGAAAAAAGAACAACATGTAAAGAATAACAAATTCCTGCTGAACAATAGAGTATACCTGTCATTTATAAATCTATATTTAAATGCAAATAATGTTGTTTTGTTGTATTCATGACTGCTTGCATTGTTATTTAAATGCAAATTACTGTGTTTGTTATCATCCAAGAGAAGATTTTATATTAACTTTCATACAATATAGCCAGTTTACACGGAATCAGATATCTTAGAGTGACAATTGAATAGATATTGATATGCAGAATTCTGTCAAAAATCAATATTAAATCATGAAAATGCCTTCATATTAGAGCATTTATTCCATATTTCTATTCTAGGCATGAATGGTGACAACACAGATTCCCAGAAGCTGAACAAGATCATATCTGAAATACAAGCTTTACAAGAGGTGGTGGCTCGGTTTAGACAACTCCGGTTAGATGCTACCGAATTTGCCTGTCTAAAATGCATCGTCACTTTCAAAGCTGGTAGGCAGACGCCAACCCCTGTCTCTTCTCCTTCCACAGTTTTGCCACCTCCCTAGTTCTGCCACCTCAAAGTCCAGACTGATCATTGCAAAAAGAGGTGATGGTTTTTAAGGGAGCTGATACTCTTAGGCTGGCCCCATTCTCGACAGTGGGGACCCTACTGTTCTCCTGCTAGCCATCCATGTCCAGAGAGCTGCTTTCCCGTCTGCATTTCCTGTGTCGCTTATCACAGTTTCCTGGTCTTCATTTCTAGTTCCTACACACAGTGGTTCTGAACTGAGAAGTTTCCGGAATGCTGCTGCCATCGCAGCCCTTCAAGATGAGGCTCAGCTAACCCTCAACAGTTACATCCATACCAGGTGACTCTTGTTTGCCTTGAACGTGCACTTAAGAAAATTGCTTCCATTGTGAATGTGTGAGCACGCGGTAATAAGCCAGTTCAGACCCTGTGACTAATCATCCTGTTACCAGCCAGTTAATTTAGCTAGAATCTGTGTCCTCACCTATTGCACAGGATGGGTGAGAGGAGCAGATAAGATTAGATTATCTAAATGAAAGCATTGCCAGACCCCTTATGGCTGTCCTGGCTGAACAAGTTGATCCATCAAAACATTTGAACACATTTGTGTGAATGGACCCTGATATGGGAAAGGTCAAAAATGAAGGCCAAAATGGTATATTAGTTGATATATTAGAGAGTGGTCACATCATCCTTGAGAGGCCATCTTTAGCCCCATCATGATTGCTGTTTGGCTTTGATGACTGGTATCCACTGAGTTCTGTTGAGTCATAGCAACTTCTGGCCAAGCAGGGCCCACTGGCAGAGAATATTCTTGGCTAGTTGTAGGACCTCTCAGCCACTGGAGCTCCAGCAGTACTCCTCCTGGCACCAATGGACAAGTCCACCAAGAGTTATAGACTTTCTGATTCCATTTTAAGATGAAAAAAAAAAAAGGCTTTTAAAGAGTTGGTGGAATCCTGCTAGCTTCCTAAGTTAGGACTGTGGTAGATGTAAGGTTAGAAAAGAGTTGCTACTGTTGTTTATTCTTCGATTGACCTTGAAAGGAAGCCCATGCAAACCTGTCTTGATCATCTCAACATCACCCATAGACTCTCTGCTAGGAGTAACTACATTGAGAGGGTAGAGGCAGTTAATGTCTCTCTCACCTAAGGGGTTGGCGAAATACCAAGTCACCTGTATTCACTGGGGGTGATACCACTTCTGCTATGATCTGCTTATTTCTATTATAAATCCTGTTTTGAAAACTAATGAATAAAACCGTTCCTTGTCCATGGAATATCAGTGAACCTGTGCTGAGTGATAGTACATGTGTATATGTTTTTCAAATTAAAGTGCCATGGTTTTAAGCATTTAAATCCATGTTAAATTTCAGAATGTATAGTAAGCACTTAATATTTGTTCAAAATTATAAAATGGAACAGTACATAATTTGGGCACTACCCCCCCCACCCCACTAAAAACAAACTTGTATGTCATATCTGACCTCTGACATCTATAGTCATTGAGGCATAAAGAACATCACACTGAAAAGAATGTGATATCCACTTACTGATTCAGTCAAGCATTTGCTGAGTACTCTGCTATGTGAGGGGCTCCTGGTGAGTATTGTGGGACACTAGAAAGAAAAAGACACTTTCCCTTATCATTGCGTGAAGTAGGCAGAAGTGATCATTCAACTGAGGACAGAGAAGAGAGAAAAAGCAAAGTGTGGAGTGGGAGGGATGAATTCTAGTTGCTAAGGAAAGTCTGGAAAGGCTGGGTGATGGAGGAGATGACATGTGAGCTGGTCCTTGAATGGCAGGACTTCAGCAGGGGAGAAGGGCTGCAGGAACAGCTAGTAGAGGGACTGGTAGAGGTGCCATGGGAGGTGCCAGCAAAGAGGAAGGGGAGCCTGAGAGGGCCTGGTGCACCAGAAGCTTCTCCTAGGGTGACCTGAGAGAGCTAAACCACAAATTAACAGAAGTCTATTTTAGGAAAATGACAAGTATATTACTTCTACCCCAGCCTCAAAACAAGGAAATTATTAATTGAAAGAACACAACTGCTTTGACATGGAATTTTGTTCATTAAATGTTTATTTATTTTGAGAGTGGGGAGGGACAGAGAGAGAGACAGAGAGACAGAGAGAGAGA